AGAGGGGAGAGAGAGAGAGAGAGAGAGAGGTCTATGATGTATCCGACACCGTTTCGCGAATTAGCTTCGGTACTCTCATCATCGCTTCCATCGGTCGGTCTGTCAGAAGGCCGAGAAAATCGCTCGGCGCACCAGAGGCAATAATAAGTCGCCGCATCGCGCAGAATACCAACCGCAAGATTGCAGCTGGAATAGACAGGCGCCGCCGTGCATGCATAGATGAGGAGGCTGTATGCAATCGCGCGTGGCGATCGAATTCAAAATTCGAGGGAAGAATCAATATTAAATCTGCATGGCTGTTGCATCTTTCGAATCCTTGTCGAGTGCTCATGCATTATTTACGTCAACAGAAAGATTTTTATATATGATTGTCGCAGTGATGGAAGCGCAGCTACAATGCATGTTAAATTTTAAATTTTATTCATAATAACGATTTTTAATTATTAACAAAAGCATAATAATTTGCATATTTTTAATATTAATATTAGATGAAAGAGCCTCTAAGAGAAGCTGATGTTATTTCAGCCGTCGTGGCTCAAATTAAAATCTTTAATTATGACGTCTGAAATATGCATTCGACATGTTTTCGTCCCGGCGCGGCGCGGACGATCAGATTTCACGTTGTAAGCGTAACCTTTCATTGGCATATCAAAACGGTCATCTCTGATTTTAATTTGCGCCTTGCATGGACTAGAGAGCAGGTAAGAGATCACCTCGGATATATATGGTTGTATTCCTGACAGATTAATATGCAACGAAAGACGCATAATTCTCAGTTCAATCAACAGTATTTAAAATAAAGTCGCCGCTTAGATCCGCATCTCTCTATCCATCTAAACGCAAAAAAAAATTTCTTATGTTTAAATCCGCTATAAAATTTTCGCGTTTTAAACATGCGCTTATCATATAAAAAACTTGAATATTTATGATAAGTACATTCAACCGTTCAAAGTTGCAATACGCGCACGCGCAAAAGATATTCAATAATCATCGTAAATAATGATTGCGTGTTGACATATCGATCAGCTGATTATTTTGTCAACACGTACGTGACTCTGTTTACATAAATTTTTATTCGCGCGCAATCTCAGACAGTTTATCGATCTATCGCGCCGGTAAATCGTTGTCGGATTTTTCGCGTCGAAGAAAGAAAAGAGAGAGAGAGAGAGAGAGAGAGAGAGAGAGAGAGAGATTGATTAGACAGAGAGACGCTTTAATCTAATAAATTATATCAATATACTTTTATTAATTTACTATTAACGTCTCGTTAGAAAAATAAAATATATCTATATATACTCAAATAGTATCGCAGACATCTCGAGTGTCGAGACGATATCTGTGTTTCGTATGTGATGCACGGGCGTTATATGCGATTATTATGGCGCGTCTTGTGAATATTCATGGTTCAATACTTTCGTAAGCAAGATCGGCGACGAGATCAAGTAACGAAAATTTCTACGCACGATCACGAGTTTTCGTCAACATGCAACAGTCGGAACGCGATTGCGACGCATATAAATGTACGCGAGGAGAGACACCTTCTCGTATTATTGATTCTCTTCAAACTTGTAAAATTCGCTGCTGACAAGTACATAAAAATGATGACTATTTAAAAAAAATTAGATATTTTTTTCATATTAAAATATATATGTCATTCATCTATTATATCATCTCATTTAACTCTTTATTTCACGGAGAGAATTTTCTCTTACAATATACTCTGAAAATCATGATAATCGTAGGACAATATGGTATTAGAAGAATTTTATTTCTCTCATTAATGTTTACCACAATAAAAAAATAGTGATTACTATGTACGTAGTAAAATTAATCGAACATATTTTATATCTTATTGTGAATATTTTTTATTGTAGTGCAAATATTAATCAGAGAAACTCTAATAAAATTTTTCCAATACAATATTGTCCCATGATTACCATAATTTTTAGGGAAAATTCTAAGAGAAAATTCTCTGTGTCTTAATTAAAAAAAAAGCGCCAAACTTATTAAATTAAACAATTAAATTTTACAAATTCAACAAATAGTATATAGTAGAGAAACTCAATAAAATACAAGTGTTTAATATCAGTGCCAAGGCTTCGTAAGCGAAATCTGAGAGAGGATTTCGAGCCCCGGTATTCACGTCACCTTTGCACCGCGTGTTTCCGCGAGATTTCGAGTTGCGTATTTTATTTGGCGTCAACACATAGTTATATACGCGTTAACGTTCGCAACTGCAACTGATTACAGCGGTAATCGAGCTAGATCGTGTACGCATCACGAAACATCCGGTATACTTTAGCGTGAACTTAACACCCCATCGAACCCGGGGCAGCCGCCGTTTTCCGCCGGAATGAATACACGCCTTTTTTTCTCGCTCAAGTGAGGATACCCGCGTCTACTACCTGCCATTCGTGCGAGCGGCCAGCGTATACTTATCGCGGACTCACAGGTGTTAAGTGCATGCCTATTTCTCTACGCGGCTGAGTATACAGGCACGCAAACCCCTGCCAAATTAATACGCGAAAGTCACGAATCGCGGCTAGTCTCGATCCTCGAACCGCTCTTGCAAGCGATGTAGGAATGAATCCTTTGAAAGCTGGCGTAGTCAATTAAATCGCGAAAGAGCTCGCGTAACATATTTCATGTTTAAATATATGTATGTTTGATATAAAAATTAATTTTTCTAATTAATTATAAAATTATATAATTCTTGTAGGATATATTCTCCATTTTTTTTTAATAGAAAAAATGATGTTTTTAAAAAATGACACACACACATAACACATGGTTATACATTGCGCCTTCGAGGCTCCGTTTGTCGTTTGGCAAAAGCGCAGGAATAAAATTGGCAGGTCCCGTAAATTCCACGACGGACGTATCCATTCTTGGAACAAGAGCGTCGGTAATTGAAGCGGGCGCAATCGGGAGAACTAAGGTGCCAAAACGGGTCTTAAACGAGTTCTCCAAAGATGAGATAAGGATCCCGTAATACCGGGCAAGATCGATTGCGCGCGCGCAAATACTTATATAGATGGGAGAAGCGCTTCGAGCTGTGTCATATTTTAAGACTTATTTCGTTACGTTTTTTTCTCGCCTTCGCGACATTAAATCTCGAACGGATAACTTGGCGCATTCTCGATCGTTTAACATTGCCCGATATAATCTGTTATTCGTTCATTTACTGATGTTAAAAGCCGGAAGTAAAGCAACTCGTTGATGTGTGAAAACTGCGCTTTCAACGAGGGGTTTGAATGCATTGAGTGTTGTGGGTAATTTTATAGATGCACCGGCGAAGATTACGCCAATCTCTTATGATAGTTCTATACAGATCAACGAACAAAGTTAACCATTTTAGATATTTTTAAAAATTGTCAAGCTCCATTATCGAGAGATTTTATAAATTAAAAAAATTTTTCATCATTACTGTACGTCAAATAAAATAATTCTTTTGTATAGAATAAAAATAAATGCATATTACGAAATTTATTTTAATTATTTAACGATATTCCACCGACTGATTAATTACTGGTTCCACCTCGTATAAGTAGATCCATTTTTTAATAATTATTAGCCGAGATGCGGACTAAAAAGCGGCGAATCGAGTTTTAACGAAAATTAGGTCCCGCGTAATTTCGCCGCCAATTAAGAGCAGGTTGGTAAAATTTGCGTGCCTCTATACGTAGCAATCTTTCGCGGTATATTTTTAACGCGAGCGACGAACCTCGCGCGATCTCGCGCGGCTCCAGGATCAAGATAAGCGTCTTCTCTTGCAAAGAAATAAGTAGTTTAAGACAGTTCGCGTGGCCGGAGATTGGTCTGACGTCGTTCACCACCTCGCTCGAGGAATGGAGGGGGAGAGGAGTGTTTTATGCGCGGGACTCCGAGTATGTTTATGCATCGTGCATCCGCAGGTGCATCCCGGCCGCTCGGTCGGAGCACGTCAAACCTGTGGTCTGATTCCGCGCCGGAAAGACACGAAATCGCGCGTTGTATGTACATACGAGTGCCGTGTATATGCGCTTTCGCGTGACGAAATGTTATCGGCGCGATAACGGCGGAATTTCCAACTCGAGGTGGCAAACGCGATATTATCGCGGATAATTGATACGCGAGATTAATTCAGTGGCGGTGCAAAAATCAAGTTGTTCAAAAAAAAAAGATGTACATATATGTGTCAAGCGGGTTCTTTCATGCGTAAATGCATATAAATTTTATTTCGGGATCATTAAATCAATTTGCAATTTTGGAGGGAAATTTGCTTAGGATTTTGACAGGTAACTTTTTGTGTGAAAGTAATATAGAAGATGATCGATAAGAGTGTACATTTTACTCATTTATCGTTATTTATATAATGCCAGTCATTTTGAACGAGGATGTAATTTTATATAAATTTATCGATCTAATTTTGCTTGATAAGTGACACTTTAATAAGATGGGATCAAATAAACCTTATCATTTGCCTGTAAATATTTTCAGCGCAGCTAAGAGGAAAAAAATTTAATAAATATTTGACTTGCCTACATTCACGATAAAATTTCGCGATAAAATATTAGATTCGTAATCATATTATTTTAATCCACGTTACATTATCCAAGTAAACTAATATACAAAACGACATGGTATAAAGTCATATTAAAAATTTGCCAAAAAATGAAGTAAAAAATGAACTCGCGTCGCGTTTTAAGGCGAGAAAAGGCTGCGTCGAGAGAGATCGAGAGAATAGACTACCGCGGGAACCGGCTGAACCGAAAAACTCGCCTGTTATTCGCGTGCCGACGCGAGATCCCATCATCGGGGATGCTGGTATTCTATCTCGATGGTGGGGAAGCGTGCCCGTGCGCAGGGAGAGTGGGAGCGTGCCGTGCTTTGGGGTTCTGTCTGCGATGACGACGACGACGACGACGACGAAGACGAAGACGACGAAGACAACGACGACGATGGTGGTGGTGGCGGTGGTGGTGGCGGCGATGGTGATGGTGGTGAGGAGCCGAGCGATGCTGACGCGCTCGTGTCGCGCGGCAAGCCGGCGAGAGAGGAGCCCGGACACACATCGCACTCGCAAGGCGCGCAAGCTACAACGGTGCCTCCGTATGGCCATGCGTCGTTCCGCCGACCTGATCACGATCGCCCGAGCACTCCTCACCGTCGATCGCCGAGTCGCCACCCCGGCGCGACTCGGCTCACCCCTAGCGGAACGGCATCCGCTCGATCCAAATTGGCGGCTTGCTCTGGTACCGGTTCGCAGTCGCGTCGCTGCGAGAGAGCTGTCCCCGAGCGAGATCCAAGCTGATCGAAGAAGCATTCGGATACGCCACCGTCGAGTCTGCATGACCAAGGGAGTAATTCGTGTGTCTGTCGTGTTAGCGAAGAACGACCTTTGAACCTTGTCGATATTCGGCGTATTCGACGACACTCTCACCCCGGAGGAGCCGGCTCAGCGGCGCAGCGGGAGGACCGAGAGCGGTGCCGTGCCTCGCCTATCGCCGCCGCGAGTAGTCAGTGCTCGGGTTTCCGCGCGAGAACGCCGCTCTCGCTTCATTCGGGAACGCGAATTCGGAGTCGATCGTTTCGTCGCGTTTCTTCGAGAGAGGAACCATCAGTGATTTTCAAGCCGAAAGATTTCGGGAGAGTGCCGCGATTCATTGTAGATTCAGTGTGCCGATGATAATCGAAGGAAAGTGCAGTTCTTGTCTTCAAAATTTAACGGGACAGATCGCACGCTCGACGTTTTTCTTCGTACTTATGTTCGCGGTATCAGTTTGACGTTTCGAAAAGTGTCGTCCTCTCTCTTTCTCTCAGAAACACGCAAACCTTCAAGTACTCTTCGGCATGGTTATATAAAAGGGTATCAACAGTGCGCCTGATCAACCTGAAAGAGTTTTCTCGTGGGAGGAAGTAACTATAGCGAACAGTAACAAAACAAGAGGGAAAAAAAGAAAAACCCTTTGGAACGCCCACGTGTCTGTTACAGGCAACACTTTGCCATTCGAGAAACTTTCTTCCTATTCCTATTGGCTAAACGAAGAATTTCTCCAACGAGTTCGCGAGATCGACTACCTTGGAAAAGAACGTTCGGCGAAAGGATATTGCGGGAAGGACTTTCGACGCGATTTTCAGCGAGAGAAGGAACGCCGTCGGCGAGCACGACACGAATCGCCGACGGCCGATGATTGACATCGGCGAGTCTCAATCGATGATGACGAGGACGGCGGGTGTCTCGCGCAATCTAACGTCATCGATCATCATCACTCGGCGCGACGTTGCTCCGACAATAGATCTCGGAGCATCGACGTGATCGGCGATCGCTACTTCATCGCCGAGAGAGCGTCGAGATTCGTCTCATTCCCTGGCGAAGAGGAGAATAATTACGAGGATAGCTACACACACATACACACATACGTGCATCCCTTCTCGCGAGGCCGGAGGGCAGCAGAACGCGATCGGAAGGAAGTGAGGTATAGTCCCGCTTCTCTCTCTGGATCCATCGTATATCTCGGTAATGCGCGCAAATTATGCGTCTCGCGTTTCTCTCTCCGCACGAAGGAACGGCGACTAGAAGCAAGAAGAACGAGCGATCCGCCTGTTGCGCTTTCCTTCACCTACGATCTTCTTCTTCCTCTTCTTCTTCATCATCTTCCCGTCTCTCGTTACTGCGGTGAGAAACGGGAGTGCCAACGACTGACTTCGACAGGACAGATATCCTTGGGGGAGCCTTGAGTTGACGTATCTATTCACCGTTCGCGTCAACATTCTCACGTGTATTGTAATAAGTGCGTTCGCCTTCTTTGAAATTTACCCCGGTTCGATCTCTTCGCGCGATCACGTGCGCGATTCGAGGAAGCTCTCATCTGCGGATGTTCTCGGAAGCTCGGCGGAGAGATAATCATGCGTTCCGACAAAACAGTAACGTGAGAGCGTGGATTCTTTTAGAATGACTTACGTCGAGAGTGAACGGAGATCGTGCTATCCCGGACCGACGAATTTCTCGAGCGATTTCTCTGACTTGGTGTCGAGGAAGAGGGTCCAGGAGTGACATTTCTTCGGCGCGAGAACGCGAAAAACTCGTATCGGTACACCGTTATTCGTACCTAGTCGAGGATCCATTCGCCTGGATCTCGAGAGTCGATAATACATATTTCGACGAGTGTGCACGTCATGTAATCCACGCGACAATTGGTTCCTCTTTTCTATTTTACCTCGCGCGAACTGTTCGCAAATATCCGATCTTCGCGCCCTCGATCAGAGGAATCTATAAAATCGTCAAGAATCGCCGTTTAGAATTTGCTCGACATCCCGGAGAGACCTTAACGTCAAAGTGGTGCTATCGCAGAAACTGAAGACGAAGAACTTGGAGAGCGGAGAGACTTCGAGCCACGCGAAACCTTGCTTCGTCCTGGTGAGTGTTTTTAATTATTGAGTTACGCGCGATATACATAATTATACACTTTCTCTTAGGATTTACTCTGAAAATCATAGTGATTGTGGGACAATATTAGAATTTTATAAAAGAATCTCTGATTAACAGTTACCACAATAAAAATATTAATATATACATAGTAAAATTAATCGAACATATTTTATATCTTATTGTGATAGAAATTAATATTTTTTATTATGGTGAATATTAATTAGAGAAACTCTTATAAAATTCCAATACCATATTGTCACACGATTACCATGATTTTTAGGGTAAATTCTAAGAAAAATTCTCTCTGTGCATGTATAAATTACTATCTCCCTATCGTAGAAGATGTCGAAAACGTTTGCGGATTTAACCCGACTGCGAATACTTGTACGCGACGCATATATTCGACGCCAGTAACCGTAATATATTTCGCCTAATGACGTAATTATTGGATAAATTAAGAACGGCGTAACGATCGCGGTCTAGATCTATTCTCACACGACCGGAGCGAAAATATTCGATCGCGATAATTATTTGGCGCCTGCAATTTTGCAGGACTGTCGACAGGATGATTTGTTGATTATCCGCAAGTCGCCGCAATTAAGTTTTCTGCGCCGTGTATCGAAATTAACATAATACGAGCTAGAAACGAGGTCCCCAAAGACTAACGAGCCTTAATTAGATAAAAAAGGCGATTAAAAAACAGTGGAAAAACGCAAACGCGATATGCTTCGTGGACGCGTGCATATGTGCATATATGCTGTATGCACATGCGGAGAGAGAGGCTGTACCTCAACGTCATCGCCGTCTGCAAACGCAAACAATTTGAGGGAGACGTTCAACCTTAACGCGTGCCTTTCGAAGATGCCGTTCATCAGATAATACCATCGCGAGAAATAATAAATCCGCGCGTCGAGAACGAGGATGAAAGCAGCGGGAAACCGAGAGGGAAAGCCGCGAGAGGAAACAAGAGAGACGAGGACACAGGGAGATATACCAGGTGACTCGGAATGATCGCATTTCTTTTCGATAATAGGTAATTCGACGATACTTTTGTGCTAATAATAGATAAATCATTTTTATTATATCAAGACATTTCGGATCGATCATTTTTTTTTTTTTTTTTGTAAACACTGTTTTTTCTAATTATGAATATAGTATTTACAGTTCTATAAAGTTGAAGAAGGGAATACGATCGGGCACAGTCACCCTGTACTGATTACGTGAGATCGTAAATCGTGGTTGCACCGGTTCGCGGGATACGCCCCGTTAACTCGCGGGTTAAATGGTTACAGTCCGCCCCCAATTTTGCGGGGTGAACAACGATGCTCTTTTTTTTCTCTTTCTCTCTCTCTCTCTCTCATTCTTCTCTCCCTCAGAATTGGGGAGAGAGGAGGGAATCGTGTACTCGACCTCTTGTCGATTTCCGATCGGGTTAAGCAAACATCGGCCGGTTCTCACCTCTATCGCGATAATAGCTGTAATTTCGGCAGCTTCCCGGTCCTCTTCCCTTACTTCCCCTTTCCTTTTCTCGATTTCATGTACACTGAGATTGCAGAGGCCGATCGCGGCGGGTTTGATTGCACGGCGCGCGACCATCGATTTATTAACCCCCTGAGTGCTCGGCTCCTCTTCGAACCCTCTCTCAATTTTATAGAATGAGGTAAGATCGTCTACCTCGGGGAACACATTTTTACATTCTCTCTCTCTCTTTCAAAGAAAATACAGTCAACAAGCTGCTAAGGTACCATTTCATGTGCAGCATGCTGCCGCAGCAGTTTGTTGCTATTGGTGAAGTTCAATTGAACGAACAGCAAAGGCAGCGAAGCAGAAGAACGTGCAACTAGTTGACTCTAATTATTCTTATTATTATATTAATTAAATAATAGATTTTTTAAAGAATAAAATAAATTATTATGAGAATATAAAAACAAAAATCGTAATTTTAATCTTGAAATAATAAGAGAACAAAGAAATGTGCTCTAATAAATTTGGATCACGTGACTGATTCGCTGCTGTATAAGGCACCTTTACGCGTTACGGGACATCGTACCTGCTACATTTCTGTCGTCTCGTCAGATCTTTCTCCGTCGAATGCTTCATACTTATAATTCTTTGATCTCTCCGAATCCTTTTATTTCTATTGATAAAGTGACGTATCAGCTGCTCGTCGCTTCTGCGCTTCGCGGGGTCGCTTTATTAATCGCCATCGTTCGCGACGCAAATGACGGCTATTTATCAAGTTGCATTTTGCTATATTGGTTTTACCAGGGGTCTCCGCCTCTCTCTCTCTCTCTTCATGTGCGTGCACGCACGCGTTGCATGCGCCTCGATTACTTCTCTCCTGTGCGCGATGCCCGCGAGAGACAGGCGAACGGCCGCGATGGAGCTGCAATGAAGTGCACATCCGACATGCGAGCGCGTCTGGACGTCGACTCTCTGAGCATCCGTGGCTCGAGAATCGCGATGACCGACGCATTTTCCGCGCAGCGTGTTACGTTTCAATAGTGGCTTTGTAGAGATTTTTACCCGCTCGCGCCAACAACGACACTTTCGCTCTAGCGTCTTATAAATCAGGAAATTAATCCTTATATACGTACCGAGAGAATTTTCTCTTAGAGTTTACCCTGAAAATCATGGTAATCGTGGGACAATATGGTATTAAGAGTTTCTCTGATTAATATTTACCACAAGAGAAATATTTATATCTACCATAATAAGATATAAAATATGTTCGATTAATTTGACTTGTATTGTAGAATTTACTATGTGCGCGTTATTAATATTTTTTATTATGGTAAATATTAATCAGAGAAACTCTTATTAAATTCTTCCAATAATTTTCAGGGTAAATTCTAAGAGAAAATTCTCTTCATGTATAAAACAGTTATTATCTATATATGAATCCAATATACGCTGAAATCGGCCGAATAAAAAGCGATTAATTTTTTTAATTTACCAATTGATTTCACTTTCTATTCTTGTTAATTTATCACTGCGATCATATCATTAATGCGAAGACTGTCTTATCAGCATAGAAGGATAATCACGTTTAGCGCGAGAAAAATGCAGACCTGTATGTTTTAAGCTCAATGTTATCTAATTGCTCAACAGTTGTATTGTTTTCGAAGAAATTCTAGAAATATCTCGAGTCATGCGAGATCATGCGAGATCTTGAGTCATGTGAAATTCAGCCTGCTTTAGAAAAAAAAATCCCGATAGATGAGAGAACATTATATGTATATAATTATCATTGCATGGAGATAACGAAGGTATTCGAAGCAATCAACAATTCGCGTTGCAATCTTGAGCCGCCTAATCGATCGAGTACACACATTATTTTTTTTTAAACAATTTTATCTTTGCAAGTCAGGGGGTGTGTTGTCTTTTGCCTTCGACATATGTGTTTGTTTAAAGTCTTGATGCAATGATAATGCAGATTGCACGGCATTTTTCATCTAGAAGAGAAATTTTTAATCTTTATCTAAAGCGCAAATTCGCCACCGTCGATCGGACAGAGTCCAACAGAGACTATAAGTACAGGACGGTTTGTTTAGTTATATATCCGTTCACACGCCCCGAAAACGTGCACGCGTATTAAACGATCGGGAGGGGTGCGAACTGTGAATGAAACTAACCACTCTACGCTGTCTTCTCTGAATGGGCAACCTCCAGGAGCGAGAGGAGAGCGCAGTATATTTCCGTTCGTGTTTATAGACGCGCGGATGCGGCCGGAGATACTGTCGGGACATTTGAAATGTAGCAGATCCGCTGTACCTAAGGATTAGTTAGACAGTGAAACGGGAACGGCAGAAAAACGGGAAAAAAATAGCACAGTCCGCCAACTGTCATCGTACAAATAACGATAAATAATGATGTAAATAATGATATAATTAATGGCATAAATAATGACTATTTTCAGCGGCACTGTTGTATTACGCGACGCGATACATTATTTGCAAGATTTATGGACAGCTCGATAAGAACGAGAGTATCATCTTTGCTGCAAAGAGAGAGAAAGAGAGATACCGAAAATCTCGTTAACGTCTCGTTCACGCGACCATTATTCGCGGCATGTCATTAATTCTTTCGTCGATCTCGTAGACGCGATAAACGAACGCGTCGATGGAGACGTATATAACATGTGTCAAGCCCACGTCGCACGTCGACGTGTGTTCGCGCACCTTCTCTCATTGCTACGCAGACTATGATAGAAGTGTTTTCAATGGAGACGTCCGTGATTGCACCTGTGATTCTCTCGCGACACCTACGCGGACATCGTGTCCTGTCCTGGGATGAAGAAAGAAGAGGAGGGGAATAACTGTCTCCTATCTGTGGAATGTGTTTGATAATGATTTATCCGATAATGCTTCTTGAGATTCCGCGGAGATCGTAGAAAAACGAGTCTTTCTTTCTCGTTCATCTGCTATTGATCGCCAGCAGATATCAGCTGACGATTTTTAGCGCAGCGTATCTGCAAGGTTCTCGTGATTCTCGAGAATGTATTATCTGTCATTTAAGAGGTTAGCAATCTTCTTCGAGACATGTGTATGATTGTACGTGTTGCCGGAATTTTCCCCAGCACGATAAAATATTACATCAACCGGAAAACAAGGAACTCCATTTCAATTAATTGCGTCTGAGAAATAAAGATAAAGATATAACTATCACACTCACATTTGTAACATCTCTTTTATAAATATAAATATTACGGATACTTTCTCTAAAATGGAAAATTGCGTAAGATTCGCACAAAATGCGCTTAGATTGTTTGCGGCGAGGTAGCGAAAGCGCGACAAGTTTCAATTCGTCCTTGACAAAACCGCAGACAAACTCATCGAAGAGGGACGATTATCGATATCGCCGATGGTGAACCAGCTGGATGGGTTTACGGTACTGTTCACCTACCGTTATCGGCACACGTCGCTGGACCAATAGCGCGGCACAGGCCCGTCGATTGGTCGATCGCGACGCAATTAACGAGGATAAAT